TACAGATGCGCGCTCCGCGCGCGCTATTTAATATTTTTTTTATTTTTTACTATATTTGCTATTACTATTAACTTCAATACACACAACTGTCAAAATATGCGATGACAGCCGCTCACGAAGTAAGCGCAATAAGAGAACCAATCGACATCGCAGAAAAGTGACATTAAGGTCTCTCTAACGCTACATCTATCGTAATATAATAACATTGCGATCTTAAGTGATCGTAGTCGTAAGATAAATGCCATCGGTTAGCGTTTACGATCGTTTCTTTTAAGAAGCTTACGATAAATATTACGATAGATATAGATCGACCTTTAAACTTCGACAGATGCGAAGTTTAAACTTTACACTTTGCCTTTGCCTTTTTTTCAGATAGGATATAAGTACCTTTCAAAAAAGATAATCTTATTCTATGTCCACGTGAAGCTTATACTTCTGCTTTCAAAAATGATAATCTTATTCTACGTCAACGTGAAAACGCTATACTTCTACTATATGCAACATCTTGCATATTGGATTTCCGTAGAGAAATAAATCTTTTTTTCAATTCAGTTTTTGCAACTCTTCATCATAAGAGATTATGCATCTTAGATTATGCATTCTTTAAAACGGCAATGTGAGCATGCAAAACTCCTAAAGAGTCATTATTCCAAAATTAAAAAAATGGATTGACTCGAAAAATTATGAAATAACGAGAAATGATATAGCATAATATAATTTTTTCCCGCAAGTCTTTCTTCGCATGTCTTTTTTCGAAGACATGCGGAGTCTTGAAAAATCTCACAATCTGTAATATTAGTATACTATTAATTTCTAGCAGTTTTGTTCCATTTTTTAAATTTCGCAGAGTTTTTTTCGGATTTCTGCATGCCTGTAAAGAGGAACAAAAAAGTGCGTACTGTCATCGTTTCATATTTGGAATGAAGTTAATGTCAGCATACAGTCATTAGTATTCATATAATTGAAATATTATCGTCCACTACGTCATAGTCGTCGCACACTCTCTTGTCTTCTCTCTCTCTTTCTCTCTCTGGAACTTTGTAATTTATCGACATGGCTATGGCACAAGAGAGATATAAAAGAGGTGTATGCGGAATTACATCTTTACGAAAGAATCTCTCTCTCCCTCTCTCTCGCTCTCTCTCTCTCTCTCTCTCTCTCTCTCTTTTCGCATTATATTTTTCTCGCAATACGCAAAGGCAAATTGCCTTCTATTCCTTGACAAAATGCCCATGAAATCAGAATCACATTTTTAAAGGGATCTCCCAACACCATTAATATTTTGCCGTCCATTTTATAATTCAAACCGCGTTTATATGTACATATATCTTATCATTATTCTTAGAAAATAGTATATATAGACAACGAATGCCCTTCGATATCTTGAATGCAATCCTCCTGAATTCTTCTAAAATTGATAGAACAGGAAGAGAAAGAGAAAGACAAATTTTATATTTTATAATTTCTCATCTTTCTTCTGAAAATAATGATCTGTTTAGAGAAGTTATAACTCGCGCATGATGTTTCCGACTATTCCAAAATGTTGACTGACTACTTAATTGCGGAATTATAATTTCTCTCGCAGGATTTTGTTTTCAAACATCTCGGGACATTGTTTCTACTAGCTTAATTTCTACATATGTGACATACACTGTTTGAAATATCTAAGGGATCACTGCTTTCTTTTTTTTGTTGTTTTTTTAAAAAAATCTTATAAATGGACCCAGCTTCTCGCTTAAAAAAAGTTAGAATACTGTTGGCTTAGAACTTTTATAATACTTTTATAATACTTTTGGCTAAAAAGATTATTATTATTCGAAACCTAATAGTTGTTTAGAGATTATTCTACTGCCTAATGTCATGTATACGTTTTAGAAAATAATCCCCCAGTGTAGGCACACACACAGAACTTACCACATACATTGAGTTATATAGCACGTAGCACGTGCCGGGATGATCATCTTTTCACAATAGGCGTTTTCTAAATGACTAAAATGTACAGGTTTACTTAACACAATAATTTTTACCAATAATAATAATAATAATAAGGCATAATAGTCGATAATAATAATATTAATAGAAAAACAAATAAAATGCAATTTCGACGCAAAAAAAAAATCTAGTCATCGGAAGAATATTAAAATATCGCCGTTAGACTGGTCTCATTACATATCTCTCGTATCTTTCTTTCACCAACTTCCGACACGGAAACGAATGAAATTGCAAATGTCGAATCCTGTTCTCCTTTCGTCTTCTCATATGACGTACAATTAATTTGCAAAACATATGATATGGCTAAATATACACTACTCGATCGAAGTCGAAGCACTCATTTTCTTCTGAATTCGTTAATGATTTTTTTTTAATTAAAAAATCAAGTGTATATATAATAACACTGTTTGTGATATGTGTCTAAAAAACGTACGTCACTTTTCTTGAGTCTTCGCGTCTCATAGCGAATTCGGTTGCGCACTAACCTACTAGACGTAAAAACATAATAGATGCCCTAATTGACGAAATAAAAATGTCCAATATGTACATTCTATCAAATAGTACGCTAAATTATGATAAACAAATTCAACGTACTGCACATACCTAAGTCTTTGCATCAATTCGTGTTTATTTCTATGCGTGTCTTTAATGTTTATACATATACATATATATATACATATATATAGGTATATATATGAGTGTGTATATATATATATATATTATATATATATATAAATTAATTCGTATTAGTGCGCATTGGCGCGTTCAACCAAATTTGCTATTGGATCATTTTTTTCTCCTGTCCTCTGTCTTTCTTTTTTTTTATCTCTCGTATTTATCATCCTTCGTTTTTATATTAAATTCTAGATTACAATGTCTTATTACAAGTTGATTAAACGACGGGCGATTTAAGAAACGCGAAAGAAGTAAGAAAAATAATTTTTACTTTTGTACAATTATTCTTTCTCAACATGATATTCGGATGAAGGAGTGGCCTGCATCGACGGCACGTAAACGTTTAAGTATATATTCATTGATACGTAAAATGCAGTGTGGAAATACATGCGTTTCGCCCGCATGATCGCTCTTCGCTATTTTTACAGTATTATTATTATTATTATTATTATTATTATTATTGCATTGGCTCTTTTATCTTTTCTCTTTTCTTCATTCATTCATCGTTAAATTCCTGAACTCTGAGGTAGACAGTTCCGGGTGTGACATTACGTAGTAAAAATGGCAAGAGTGCTATATATATCAATTACCATGTTATACCGTGTTACCGTTATATATTACACACGTCGATATTATTACATTGATATTATTAATCTTTTTTAATACATTAAACAGAACAGGGCATAAAAGAATATCGCACTTGCTTATATCGCGTAAGTACATGATGCATTACTGTACGCATGATACTGTTTTTCCGTGTCTGGTTCTATCTCTACACACTCTTGCACAATTTCATACAGAATACTTCTAAATCACAATATCTGCAAATTTTATGACATCCTTTTAGAAATATCCTGTATATAGTATTTATCATAACCGTGCAACTTTTGAAAAATTTGTCGAAAAAGCTTTAGTAAACAGTTTTTGGAATGTGCAACGGAAATCATGAAACTTATAATTTTTTTTGTTATTTATCAACAAAAATAAATGTCTAAATAATGAATCATGATGAACGCATAAATTAATATACAAGATATAAAAAAATACATATACTTATATTACATATGCTTATATAAATAAATTTTATTCTTGATGAAACAATTTTAGGACAAACATTTTCATTATTTATTTAGTTTTGTGAATGATCAAAAACAATTAAACAAACTTGATTGATAGATCGACACTAGAGATAATTTTCTTTAAACAATAACAGTTGCATGATGAAGGTTTAAATAATTAGCGTAGTATCGCGTGAGAAATTATTAGCGTACCTGAAATCGACCGCTCGATTGGACAACAACCGACGGAAACAATTATGCGTACCTGGACGTTATTTCGTTATAGCAACGTGAACGTTTACCCACAATTGCATGCTTGCGTGCGCCGAACGACGCGTGGCTCGAAGGGAAATTCGCTCCAAGAGGTCGGATCGTAGCCTCGGTGATTGGCTCATTTTGTCAGTAATTAATCAGGCATCGATTAATCAGTGCCAATATACGAAACGATTGAGCTACGAAAATATCTAATTGACAAGTTTTAATACAGAAAGCATTAATAAATAATTAGTACCTCAATATATTAAATACAAAAAATTAATATGCTAATAAATAAAATGAGAATATCGAAAATAGTCTGATTTTATTTGAAATCGAAAATGAATGCTACTAATATGAAAATAACTATATATAATAGTTAATTGTACTGATAAATGAAGCAAAAATTTATATAATTAATGTCATTGACCATAATATAAAAATTCAGAGCAGATGAGATAAAACATGTATTAAGAATTTAAAGTTTAATAACTTATTTTATAATTTGTATATGACTATTAAAAATTTTATATTTAAAATTAATAGATAGCAACTTGTTATTACGTTTTTTCACATGAGGTAATATAAAAGTAGGAGGGAAATCCAGTTCGAGCGACGCACAAATTGTAACAACAAATTGTAAAGCTATTTTAAACTTTTAAATAAACAAATGAGGCACTGATGTGAGAACATGTTCGGTCAACAATTGGAATGTACATCAAATGGAATGTAAAATACATTCTTCTACAAATAGAAACTAACAGATTTTCTTATCAATCAAGATATCAAAATTATCCGAAAAACAAAGAAATTTTTATATTAAATAAAAATTTGCATATACTTATACAAAATTTTCTATTTTTATTGATAAATAAAAGGAAAGAACAATTTTGCTAGAAGGCCTAAAAATTTTGCTGAACACAGATCTGAAAATAATTATGTCAGACCATCAAAATAATTTTGTTAGAAATTCAAACTGGTTGCTAGAATATCGAAATGTTTTACAGAAATGCTCATCATTTTTGAGTTTCCAACAAAATGATTTTGATGCAACAAAATTATTTTCAGATTTGTATTCAGCAAAATTTTTAGACCTTAGCAAAATTCTTTCCGAGCACGCAACAAAAAAGAAAATTCATATAATATTTACAATATTTTACAATAAGAATATCATTTATATATTTAATTACGGAATTTAAAATATTAAAAAGCAGGTGTAAATTTCTGCTTCTTCGGCATATGTTTTTATGTAAATTTTATGTTAGTTTTCTATCAATCAAATGCAGGTTCTTTTATTGCTGATATTGTGATTTTATATCAAATTTATTCTTTACGGTTTGTATTAATATGAATAGTATGTTTTAACAAATACGTATTATAATATTGATGGTTATAACGTAGTTATAATCATTAATATTATCTAAAAAAATTATTATTTCTATCCATAACATGGATGGTTGCATGCATTCTAAAATGTGTATATGTATATATATATAAATATATACATATCATATTTTACAGAAAGAGAAACATATGCATAATGATATTGAAATTATGTACAATACGAATATTAAAAGGAAATTATAATAAGCGTAAAAAACTTATGCTAATAGAATACAAAAAAGAACGTAAATGCATAATTATTAATAGTAACTTTAATACCAAAAGCATAAAAAAGTATAAAAATAATCAAACAAGTGCTAAAAGTATAATGCCAAATAAGAACGCTTTAATGCTTATTGGTCTTCCTATTGTAATTTCATATTAAAAAATCTTTATGTTTATGCTATTATCAATTAATATAATATAATAATGATATATATTTATATATATACACATATCTTATGATACTTTGTACAATTTGTATGCTTAATATCGCATCGAGAAAACAATATATTTTAATTTCCCGATCATTTATAACTAGTTTAAAAAGACAATATTTACTCTTTCAAGATCGTCGTCAGATCATCGAATTAAGATCGCAATCTACTGAATCAATTGACAATGCGACAAGAATAATAAAAAAAGATGTCATGTCATTTCAGGGTCGGCTCCGGATATCGCAACGATTTTACTATATTCCTATCATAAACGTGTTATACATATCAATTCGTTTTTTATACGGCGCGTCTAAGAAATGTTAATGACTTCCATTCAATCTTTCTGTCAAATTATTTTAGCTTGAAAACGTTGAGCTTTTCGAATAGATATTGAACTATTTATATCGCTATGTATCGGAACTATTAGTGAGATAGAAAAGTGTTGTTCTCGCGGGAAACATATATATATGAGGGAAAGCCATTCCCGAAAAATCAATGTATCGAATCTTATCTATTTTACTGAGATTATACTAGCTTATCGTAAACTACAGTAAGTGCGAAATTAATCGTTAATAATTTAGCGATTAGTATACACGCCGAGTTTTGAATCTGCAATTAAAAAATGAAAGAAAAAATGAAAATTGCGAAATTTTTATAGACAAAGAGAGATAATGTCCGTTAGTCGGCAGATAATCTTACCTCTTAGGACGATCTCGAGGTCGCGCGTCGGATAGTCGCATCGAACATGGACATGTCTTTATAATTTTATGTTGACGTTGAATGGAAACCGTTGAATGTTGAATCGTTGAAGATTGGACCGTTGACCGTTGACTCGGGCATTCACTTTGAATCGCTGAGCCTGCCGTTGGTTGTTTATTCGCGATCTTCTAGTATGCGTATCCTGATGCTTCTTCATGTGGTCGTGTCTAATGAATCCTTTGCCGCAAGTGTCACATTTAAATGGTCGTCTACCAGTGTGGACGCAAAGATGCCGCTTAAGATCAGTTTTGTGAGCGAATAGCTTTGGACAGGTTGTACATTGATGTTTTCTCGCAACATCGTGCATTTCCGTATGTTTCTTATGCCTTTCCTCGCTTGAAAATCGTTTGCCGCACTGGGCGCATTTAAACGGTTTATCGCCCGAGTGAAAGCTCTTATTATGTTGTGTCAAGTAGCAAGATTTGTTAAAAGTTTTATCGCAATTGAGGCAATGGTAGACGCCGTTTTCCGAGATATAAGCACTGCTGCTAGTAATCTGACACTGCTTCGTATTGTTTTTACTTTTACGTCCTTTTTTACGCTGCAAGCCGATGTTTGGGTCCAAATCCTCCTTCTCCTGTCCTAAGTGCAATAAATGATTGTTGTTGGTCTCTATATCAATTTTTTGATTTAATTCATAGCAGAGCGTCATTACTTCTACATTTTGTTCTTGTATCATACCGCCTGCATTCGTTTGCAACGTCGTCGTCATATCTAGATTCAACGACTTGTACCGCGTTGGCGAATATGGATCATAAGTCGATGAAGATTCAAAGGACTCTTGAGGACCAATCTCCTCAACAGTTAGCCCCCCCACGTTAACGGTCTGATTTTGATCTACTACGAACCCGTATTCCGTGAATGCATGGTTCGGGTGGATGGTTCTAAAACCGGGCAACAAGCGATGTTGTGATCGCTCATTTTGCTCATTACCAATAGTAACTAGTTGCATGGTAGGTGCTTGGGTAGATTCCAGTGGGACCGCCGGGATGCTGGTAGTAATTGTAACGTGGGGGGGCAAGGCGTTTGGGTACGGCTGATGAGGCATCGTAGTACCCCCCATCGCTGTGGGGGAAGTCATTGCCGGATGGGCCGAGCCGGGCGGCGAGTTCATGTGATGAACCGGGTGGGATGATGAACCCATTGGCGAAGGGCAATTCATGTGCGATGCCGCCGGCGGGGGCATGGGCGAAGTCGTGGAATGATGCACCAGCTGGCCCGACGAATCCGTTGGTAGATGAAGCTGTTGCTGCTGTTGCTGGAGGCCCAGTTGGTGAGGCGCAGTACCCATTTGTTGCTGATGGTGCCCCGCCAGCGGCGATGACACCGGGGAATTGATTATTCCCAGAGGGACCAGTTGCTGCGGCGGCGGCGGCGGCTGCTGCTGCTGCTGCTGCTGCTGCTGCACTAGAACCGGTAAAGATTTGCTGTTGCTGTTGCTGCTGCTGGAATTGTTGCAGAGCGTGGTGGGCGTGTGAAGCAGGCCCCCCGTCGCCTCGCCCGAGGGACCTGCCATCAAGTTTGGGGGACTCCGCGAAGATGATAACTCTGGTGGAGATCGGGCGGGAGCGCCGCTGCCTCTGCCACTCGTCGAATGACTAGTGCTATTATCTCTAGTGGGATGATGATGAGCGTTGATTGGTAGATTTGCTGGATCAGGATCCTTTCCATTCTTGACAGCGTTCTTGTGCAAAGTAGTATTATAATGCCTCTTTAGATGTCCTGAACTTGTAAACCACTTGTTGCACGCAGTGCAATTGTATGTCTTTGGACGGCGCGGTTCATTACTTTTCCAGGATTGATTCGCTAACGGCGGCGGTTTTGATGCTTGCTGCACGAATCCAGGTGACATCTGATGACCCGACATCGGTTGCGTACTCGTGATTATCGACGAACCCTGATGTCCGTGCTCCACAGGCATGTGTTGACCGCGCATGTATTGATCCTGATCAGTGATAGGTGGAACATTGTTTATGGAACCCATTGACGGGTGTCCAGGATAATCATGAGTCTGAACAGTTTGCCAACTCAACATAGGACTCACCGGAAGCGATTCTATTCTCTGCGATTGCTGCTGCTGCATCACCTGTTGATGATGTATCTGCATTTGAAGTCCTTGCTGCTGGTGCTGCTGCTGCTGCAACCTTATCACCTCATCGAAACCCCTGTGAGTTTGCACCTTGTGAGAATCCAAATCAAGGATCTCAGCTTGTTCCTCGGGCTGTTCCTGCTTCATCTCGGACTTGATCGGCTGTCCACCGTTGTAATCGTAGCCGGTTTGTTGCGGTTGATTCGAGAGAGGCGGTGACGAATGTAATTGCTGGCTCTGCTGCTGAGGACTATTGCCCAGTTGTTGATACTGAGGCGCCGGTGGATACGCGGTAGGCGAGTCCAAATGATTCGTCCTCACGTGCTCGCCTAATTGATTTGCGTCCTCATAAATAGCGCCGCATTTCTCGCATTGAAAAGGCGGACTTTGCGGACTGGTAGAGTTAGAAGTCGTATGATCTGAGGGATACAATTGCTGATGTTGATATGGATGATAGCGAAAACCAGCGTCGCGACCACCGTTATTCTGGTCTTCCTGTGATGGTGAAAAGTGATGGGGCAAAACGTAAGTCTGATCGTTCTGCATGAAGTAGCCGCTTTCGCTAAACATTGGAGTTCGAAAATGATCGTATGTCGAGCATACGATTGTATGTAAAGGCTGTTGCTGAGGTTGTTGTTGTGATTGTTGCTGCTGCTGATGTTGTGTTTGTTGTGTAGATGTTGGATCTCGAGAGGGCGACATCGATGATGGTTCACTCGAATCCACCGGTACGTTGTCCCGGTTGATGCTCACGTGACTATTATGATTACCAGTCTTGCTATGATTATTATTGCTCTCTTCTTGCTGTGCCTTATTAGCCCACTGATTTAACAAATTTTCCTGATGGTAGCGTAGATGCACCTCCAAGCTCTTTTCGCTCTCGAAGGTAAGTCCGCAATCCTTGCAATGATGCTCCGCATTCGAGCTACCACCTACGTACTGTTGCTGTTGTTGCTGCGTCTCAACGGCACTCGTCATCTCACTCATATTGTCCTCTCCCTCCGTCTCGGCCGTCAAGTCAAGCGCTCCAATCGTCGTTTACTTATAATACACACGTGATGCACGATTAAACAGTAGCTTGCGCACAACGCGAGCAGAATAAAACCGGACGAAATATGCAAATACATGAGTATCTATGCACTCGTACGCGCGCACGTAAGCAAAGCAATTCTCTTTTCCCTTTCTTTTTGTCTTTGATTGTTTCACTTTGCCACCTCCTGAATTGCATCTCGTGATACGGTAAAATTATACGAGATATTATATGGGCACGACGACGACGATGATAGCGCGAAACGGCATCGTGCGAGTTACATATATAGATTCAGTCTCGGCGGGAACGAAACAACACGCCTCGTGATTTAGCCGACAGCTGAGCCAGTAGCGACGGGTAGGAATAGGTGAGGGAGAGGGTCAAACTAAAAAGAGAGAAGGAGAAAACAAAAAGAAACCGGGGATACAGCGTGTTCTACATTTATCATATGACCGCACTGACTCTAAACGCGAATATCCAACTCAATGTCGCTCGATAAATCGCGATCACCGCGTGCGGCATCATCAGCCTCGGCTGAACGACGTGTCGACGACGACGACGACGACAGCGGGACGGTACCACTTGCTAACTCCCACCTTGGTGCCGGGGACACTGCTTTCAATAACGAGATTCAAACGATGTCGATCGGCTCCGGAACAAACAAAACAAAATAAAACCGAACGCGCGTATCGCTCATGATTTACATGTTGACCGGCACGCCAGCGGCTGTCGTATCTGCATTCCTCGTTTCGAAGCAAGGTCACCCCCGTTCGACGAGACGGTCGCACGATCCCGAAAGAAGAATTCGAATTCCCAGAGGAAATTGCGCCTTTCGAATCTTCCGATGAAATTTATCTTGAAAATTGTAACAAACACGGTTCACTTTGCACTTTGTTTATTGCGATTGCGATGTCTATTTCTCGTGTAGCTGACTCAAGGAGTCTCTATTCACAATTGATCGTGGGCGTCTCAAAAGTGATCACTTGATGTCACGTATTCCGGTACTGCGAAAACGACAGAACTGAAGCCGCGAACACAATGAGACGCAACCACCTCAGCCTTGCGTTCACCCCTCCGTTCAGCCTACCCCTCCCTCTCACTCTCTCTCTCTCTCTCTCTTCCCTCTCTTTCTCTCTCTCTCTTCGGATTTACACTTGCCCACTACTATCGTAGAACCGTATCGTATGAACGCCGCCACTACTCTGTAGTTTCGAGACCTCGGCTTCGCGCCAAGGCACCATTCTCCTCCCCTCATCCCTCCCTCGCCATGTTCCGCCCCACACTGCTTCCTTCGCCAATACTCGCCACCCCCTCTTCGTCGTCACTTGCCGACTCTTCGAATTCTGCCTTTCTCTCTCGGGCTTGAACGCATTTCCTCTCGTTCTCTACAGTCATCTCTCTCCGTCGTTCTCTCGAACGTCTTTCTCTTTGCTCGTTCAACACATCGGCGAATAGTGTCTTTCTTCGTCTAACGTTAAAATTTTCTCTTTCTCTCACGAAGGTTCCATCGTTCGTCACGCTTCCTCCGTTGGAAGAACTCTTGCCCCTCTCTCTCTCTCTCTCTCTCTCTCTCTCCTCTCTCTCTCTCTCTCTCTCTCTCTTTCACTAACTCTCCTTCTTCCTCTCGCTTAAACTTCTCCCTTCTGTCTCGTCCAAATACTTGGCCGAAACACCAGCCTGTCTCTCTCTTCTCTCTTCTTCTCTTTTGCTTACTCCTGTCCCTCCTCAGTGTACCAACCCCACTACCTTCGACTACAGTCGATCTTCTCCGATTCTCGCCTGAAGAGGGATAGGCACGCACGACAAAACGGTGGAAAGCGACAGCCAACCAAATTTGAGAGCTCCTTACCCCTCCTGGCTTTCGTCCTCCCTCTTCGTTCCTTCCAACGAGTGTTTGGCCGTTCTCTTCCTCTGGTTTTACTCGTTCTCCTCGCTCGACAAGCGACGAATCCTGCAGGAGATGCTGCGCGTTTTGTCTCTCTCTGTTAGTTCCATCTTCTTCAGGCTTGGATGTGTCCTCTTTCAATTACGATGCCCGCCGTCACGTCCTTCCTCCCTCTTCTACGACGACGCGTCTTCGGAGAGAGAACACGACGGACAGACGTGCGCATGGCACGAGAATCCTTGCTCGTCTGCACGCCCGCGTACCGGCCGGCGTCTCGTCCTTATTCACCAACTTTATACAGCGAGATTCTTTCGAGATTCCCGATACGGATCTTTTGGATCAGACACGCGCCAATTTTTGGAGCAACGTATTTCGTATATTTCTTGTAAGCATCTAACATTTTCTGTAAAATCATTTTCAATATTTTAATCTTTTCTTAACATGCGTAAAATAAATATCTTTCATAAAAATTAAATTAGAAATTAATTGCATTCATTACTTAAATTTGAATTTTAATGAACTTTCAAATTTGTTAATTTATTATCAGTCAATATCAAGAATTCTACATAAAATTTTTAATTGACGTTCGTTATTTTGCTTTAAGAATACTTTCACGTATAAAGAAAATTATGCAAAGAAAAATGTAGTAGTACTTTAACATATTAAAGATCATCGCGCGAGCTGATTCATGAATTCACGTTTCTCCGACAAAAAATCCCTTCGAACGACTCGAAGATTACCTAATTCCATCGAGTGATAAACGTAAATCTGGACAGTTTGCCTGAACTTTTTATTAATCCGAGCAACGAGCCCTTTCGTAGAATGCCTGTGTAAAAAGTGCGAGGGTATTAACCGACGATAACTAAACTCTTTTTCTCGTCCTCCGCCCTCATATCCGCCCCTCTCGCCCCCATCTTTCTTCTCCCTTTCCGCGCTCTCTTCCTCCATCTCGCGTCTTTGCAAAGCGGTTTGGTTGAATAAAAAAAAATGTGGGTAACCTTGCATTTTTTTATGATATCTTTTTTTCACGCGCGAACGCGCGGCTCTCCTCGACTCGTGCACTTTGTCTACGGAATGCGACAAGTTCTTCTATCCCTGCTTCTCACCCTCCGTTTCTGTCCCACCCGGTCGTATCCACCACCGCGCACGCCTAACCCTTTACTCCATCTATGAATATGTTTATTGCATTGCACGACGACCACCTGATGCAAAGGGAGAGAACCTTGCCGCATGTGTGGGCGATGCAGGGTACGTGATGTCAAGACGAATGAGTGTCACCTGACTGGTATCTTTAAACGATCAGGTATTAAGATCAGGTAGCGCGGCACGATTAACCTTTTCGCTTTAAATGTACGCCGTATACTTACGGTCAGCTGGGATCGAGAATTTCGCAAGACACAACTGACTAAGATTTTTCTCACTATTTTTCTGTGATAGTGTGTGATACGTTGCATTAATATGTACAGGAATAATTAATGGGGAATATATTTTAATTGTAACCATAATTATATGCGTTAATACCACAGTAATTATGTGCTTTATTTACTATTGATAAATTCAAGAAAGATTTAAAAAATTTAATGTTCTACAATTAAATGTATTGCAGAAAAATTCATTAATATTTTTGCAATATTTATTAAATGTTTCCATTAAGAAACATAATATCAAGTTAATCAAAGATCCCGTAATCAAAAGTGCAAGAATTTTTTCCTTTACTCTAAATAAATATTTCTTTCTTTAATAACCCCGTTCTAATTAAGAGAATATTAAGAGATGATTATTTTCAAATTATCATTTGTATTTTTTTACGATTTTTATTCGAACGGTACGTTAAGATACGTCGAAAGAGCCAGCGCGGTAGATTGAATCAGCCTAAGCAGCAGCCACCCTTCTACGGATTCCGATTTGGCAGTTCCCCGCCTGCGCCACCCCTTAGCCTCCACTCGGCATTTTCGAAGTGGACGCTGAGCTGACCGAACCACTATCAGCTAGATATTCGCTGGCGTGGCGTTTGCGTCCCCATTTTATTAAGGAAGTTCCACCCCACCCCGAACCTCCACAGTCCTTCGTGTTACGAAGTCCTACGACTCCTACGGTGCGGGACTCCTGGTAACACGTGCGACGTGCACTTTTATCCTTCTCCTTTGTTCTTTCTTCCGAAGTTTCTTTTTCTTTTTCTTTGTCTCTTTTTTGTCGCATGATAAAATTGTTTCCTTTTCTAAGTATTTTACTTGCATGTGAAAAACATCGCTCGTAAATCTACAAATACGTGATGTATCGACGAAGACGAGACGTTTAAAAGAATTTTATTTTAATGGAAGAGTCGAGGATTCTGAGAAGCTTCAACAATCATAGATTTATTTTTTCTAAAATTTCGAGCTTATTTTTTAAAATGTTCTAGAAAAACAAAAAATAAAAAAATTGGAGCAATAATATGAAATATTCTTAGAGCTGCAGATAGTCTCTAAAGTTATATAATTTCTAAATTACTAATTAAAATTTAATAACATTATAATATAATTCTTATCATGTAAAAATATTATTAATTTCGCCTTTTGGAGTTTTTGCAAAGAAGAAAATTTATAATTGCAAACGAATTATTAATTGATCTATAACAAAGTACAGTTATAATCAATTTTCGTCGACTGTCTGCATAAATTTTTTTTACGATTTAACGCGATCTTCGTTATTGCGATAACAACAGAAAAAAGAATAAAACGTCTAGCGAAAAGAATCTTTTTCGCAAATTTTTTCAACGCATGACAGAAGACTTCGTGAGCTGCATTTCCGTGGCCCCCAATCTCGCGAAAGAACACGGAGGCCCGTCTGGTCGCGAACCGCCGGAGATCGTGGAGAGTAATAAAAAATATTCCGCGAGCTCGGCAAAGGGGGATGAGGCTCGACCACCGGGGGCATCATTAAAGGAAATTATAACAAAGTGGTTCTCCTCCGCGACGTCGGGGCTGTCATTTGGCGGCGCGGGGCCCTGAGTGTTCGCGGGATGAGAGAAGAACGCGGGCGGCGTTGAAGAAGGACGGGATAGAAAGGCTGAGTCAGTTCGCGCGGAAAACGAATTGAAATTTTAATCGTCCACCCTACCCCACCGCGTTAAATGCGTCCGCCACCTTGCCGGCTCTAACCCCTCCCTTTCCCGCGACGCGACCCTCGCTAACCTCTGTCCTCCTTTTCTCGCCTCTCTCCGTTTTTTCCCCTCTCGCTCCGTTCATAGCGCGAGCTAAATGCTTTTACGCGCGTCGCTATTATGTACCTCTCTCGCTTTTAAGCTCGTGTTTATTCCTCGCCCGACACCGGACATTTTTCTCGTCAGCGAACGCTCTCTGAGAAGACTGACGGGGTAATCAGGTGCAGTTTCTCCGCATATTCAATTCATAATTTAGTCGAGAGCGGTTTTGTGCATTGACGCGCACTACTTGGAATTATGAAAATATTTAAATTTGGGACAGATACTTTAATCGCGTGTTAAAAAATAATAAAAAATGAACATATTATGTCCATTTTGAGCAATCTTTATATATCAAATTATGCGTTAAATATTAATATTTAAAATTATCAAAAAAAAATCCAAGATTGTCGCTCGTATAATCATCGTAAATCATCAATAAGAAAATCATAAAAACATTTGCAATTGTCAGTATTGTTACTTGTTGTTAGATAACTCAATATATCGACCTATTTTTTATCCTCTATCGCATCCTATGTTAACGAATTAAAGCTGCCTGACCCAAAAAAGATTACCATAAAATATAATGCTATTGTCAGAAGTGTCGCGATTACGACGAACGGACGCTTCTCACTGAAAGGTGCCGTTTTATTCCCTAAAGGACACGGCAGAAGGTGCGAATAGGGTCACGCATGGCGCTGATCCCGCGCACTTAATGAAAGGCTGATCATCGCCATCGAGAGGACCTCAACGGCCTCATCTCTCCGCGCGTCCGTATCAAATTTTTGTCACACAGGAGGACAACGCGTAGCGGTCGAACGGAGGGAGAGGCCTCGACCCTTCGAAGCTATTGAGAAACTTATTGAGAAATCGTGAAAGTCGATCGAGGCTCGAGCGACCTTTCTCGGCCACGTGCAACCCGTCCGATCGCGGTCAGCCGTGGTCCGCCCTGGGGAGAAAAAAAGGGAGCATTGTGTGAAATTAGAGCCCTTCTTATGGTAATTGGACCACCGTATGATTGCTGGTTTACTCGCGGCCCGTCGCGCTGCTCTTCGCGCGCTGCTCCTCGACAGGCCAACGACTTGGGCCCGATGTTGCCCGGGCACGTGTCGTATCGCGTTCTTTTTTTTTCCTCCCCGATTTGTTGTAGCTGAAAAAATTCAACATCTTTCAGGTCTTTTCGCGAGTGCGTCGCGTCGACAAATCAATAATAATCGAGATGACTTGGAACGCGGCAGCACGCTGAGCGCCGATTGTATCAACGTCAATCAGCGTTAATTCAATTTTGCTCTGCGCTCTACACAGAATGCTCCATCGATAACGATTAAATCTCTGACAACCCCATTTTTCACAAATCTTCGAATTTTATATTATGCGAATAATTATAATCCATGGAAGAGAAAGAGAAGGACAACTATTACTAATGTAGATTTAATTGAAAAAAGGATTAATATTTGCATCATAATAATGTTTATAAAAACATCTGATTATTAATCAAAAGTG